TGGACTCAAATGTGCCAGCGACAGGAAGATGATCCAAGACCATGAAAAGTTTCCTTTTATTGCATATAGGGTTATTGTGAGTGGGAACCAACTCATAGCTAATTCACAACAACAATTTTATTCTTAATAGTTTGCCATTACTTTTTCATTCTGACTTTGCCGTTATCCCTTCCCAACAACCCCTTTAATCTAAGCCACAGTTTGCCTCCCCAAAGAGATACGGATAAGACCAAGGTAGTTGTCCTCTTACAATATTATTGAATATAGCTATCATCAATAGAAACATGCCCAGAAAATAAATGAGGGAGACCGAGTCCTTTCCGTTTGGTCTTTCCAAATCTCATCTGTAGTGCCAGGCTAGACGTTTTTGATCTCATGTCTCTTGTTCAGTTTCTTTTTTGTAGCTGCTCTGTCCTTCCAAGCCTCTAGCTGACATGCTTCTAGTGTCTAAGAAGTCATGTATCATGTGGTTTGTTGCAAATTTGGTATCAGACAGACCTGGATTTTAATCCTTGTCTTCCTTACACACAAATAGTATGGTTTTAGGTGAGTTCATCTTTCTAAAGCCTGTTTTCTCATCTGTAAGCTTGGTATATAGTGGTACCCATGAAATTAATATAATATTCTTAAAAATTTGGTAAATAGGAAACCTTCAACAGATGTTGGTTGCTATCATTATTAACAGTGAATTGGCTACTATTTTTTTCCTCATTGCCTGTATTCGTTTACTCACCATAGATCAAAACTTTATTCTTGTAGCCTTGTTTTTGCCTCTACTTGCTTCATGCCAGCTCACACTGAAGGTAAATATTCCATGTTATCCTTTATGTTTTAGGTTTGATCATTTTTTTGCTTAGGTGGATACACTAGGGCAAAAAACCCTACAATTCATAGAGTTTGTTGTAAGGTGCCATTGAGTCGGTTCTTGCTCATAATGACCCTTTTTGCAACAGAATGAAACACTGCCTGGTCCTGTACCCACCTCACAATTTAATATGCTTGCAGGTGGGTGTTTTTTTTTCAGTTTGAGTCATGCCACATTAACAAATGAAGGTCCTGAAAGCTTTAATGCATCCACATCATTAAGGATGACTCGACTTTTAGTGTATTTTGAGTGCCTTCCTATCTGAGGGGCTCATCTTCCAGCATGTTATCAGACAGTGTTCCGCTGCTATTCATAAAGTTTTCATTGTTTGATTGTTTTAGAAATAGATCGCCAGATCTTTCTTCCTAGTCTGTTGCAGTCTGGAGGTACCACTGAAACCTGTCCACCATGGGTGACCCTGCTGGTATGTGAAATACATTGGCACCACTTCTAGCATCACAGCAACACACAAACCACCACAGTACAACAAACTGACAGAGTCTAGACTCACAAAGCCTTATATCACAATGTGAAGAAAAATCTAGAATCATGTAGCTAGTCTGACCAGGTTACTTGGTGGTGTGCTCTTTCCACCCTCTTGTTTTCTTACCCAGATTCCATATTTACATATTAAAAACCCCAAACCTACCACCATTAAGTTGATTTTCACCCTCATGTTGGTTTTCAAGACTGAGTCTTTATGGGAGCAGACATCCTCCTCTTCTCCCCTCCCTTCGTCTTCCTCCCCCTAGTCTTCCTTCCCCTTCGTCTTTCTCCCCCCTCCTCTTATACCCCTCCCCCTCATCTTTCTCTCCCCTCATCTTCCTCCCCCATCTCCCCCCCACAGTTTTTCTCCCACAGAGAAGCTCTAAGCTCTTGGTTTTGAACTGTCACCCTTTTGGTTAGCATTCCAGTGCCTAACACACAGTCCCACAAGGACTCCTTGTATGTACGTGCATCCACTACTCTAAATAGGGTTTCTGAAACTGTAAGTCTTTATGTGTGTGTGTGTGTGTGAATTGAGGAAAGGTTTACACACAAGTTCATCAGTCTTATATTCAACAAATCATACACTTTACTTCATCTCAATGTTTGCAGTTCCCTCCATGCAACAACAGTTGTCCCACTTCCTACCTGTGGTTGCCATGTGCAAATACTTCTTTCAAACTCGAATATACTTCTGGGATATATCTCCCACTCTTCCTCCCATACCTATTCACCCATTAGGCTTGTATCTCTGTCCATGTAGCTATACAGAAAACAAGGTTGTATATATATCACTATGTACCTGTCTCCTCTTTAGCCCTAGCAGGTGTGTCTTCACCTGTCTTCATCATTCTTTTGATGACCTCTCCCTTCTTATATAATGCTCTCCCTGTCATCCAAGTTAACATATGTCTACCCTCTAGCCAGTTGTTTCTTTTAGTATAAAAACCTTTTTTTGAATTTTTACAATAGTGATCTCATATAGTATTTGCCCTTTTGTGATTGACTAATTTCACTCATCTTGGGCCTGACCCAAGCCATGGTATTTTCAATAACCTCATGTATGTGAAAGCTGGACAGTGAATAAGGAAGACCGTAGAAGAATTGATGCTTTTGAATTATGGTGTTGGAGGAGAATATTGTAAGTGCCATGAGCTGCCAAAAGAACCAATAGATTTGTTTTGGAAGAAGTGCAGCCAGAGTGCTCCTTGGAGGCCTAGATGGCCAAACATCGTCTTTCATACTTTGGACATATTGTCAGGAGGGACCAGTCGCTGGAGAAGGATATCATGTTTGGTAAGGTGGAGGGTCAGATAAAAAGAGGAAGACTCCCAGCGAAATGGATTGGCCAAGTGGCAGCATCGATGGACTCAAGCGTGGCAACAGTAGTGAGGTTGGCCCAAGATCAGGCAGTGTTTCATTCTGCTGTGCATAGGGTTGCTATGAGTCGGTGCCGACTCGATGGCACCTAACAACAACAACAATTGCACTCAGCATAATGTTATCCAGGATCATCCATATTATGAGGAGTTTTGTAGATTTATTGTTATTGTTCAGCACTGAGTAGTAGTCCATTGTGTCTATGTACCGAAGTTTGTTTATCCACTCATCCACTGATGGACATATTGGTTGTCTCCATCTCTTTGCTATTGTGAATAGTGCTGCGATGAACATCGGTGTACATATATCTACTCATGTCCTGGCTCTTAATTCTTGTGGATATACGTCAAGAAGAGGGATTGCTTGGACATACGATAGTGCTATTTTCAACTTTCTGAGAAGTGCTACACCATCTTCCATAGTGGTTGTACCATTTTACAGTCCCACAAGCAATGTAGTAGCATCCCAGTGAGACAGTAAATCTTTATGGGAGCAGATAGTCTCATCTTTATCCCGTGGCGTGCCTACTGGGTTTTGAACCTCCAACCTTGTGTTCAGCAGTCCAATAGTTACCCCGCAGCACCACCAGGGTGCCTTATATTTACATAGACACACCATTGTAAGTATACATAATGAGTGGAATTGAGTGAAGGTTTACAGGCATATCATCAGTTTTACATTCAACAAATCATTGCAATGCTTACAAGCCCCTCCCTGCACCATCACTTAACAGTATTTACCTCTATTTCCCCCCTTTTTTTATAGTACGCATGCCACATTGAAAATATGGTTGGTTGTGTACCATGGAGTCGGTTCCGACTCACTGTGACCCTGTATACAGTTTCCGTGGCTGTAAATCTTTATGGGAGCAGAAAACTTCATCCTTCTCCCACAGAACAGCTGGTAGTTTCGAACTGCTGACCTTGAGGTTAGCAGCCCAACTCATATGTTTGTTTAAATGTCCAGTGGGCACATTTTGCAAGCCCACCTCTTGCCCGCAGGCACACTGCATTTCTCAGTCCACGGGCCTGTAGTCCTCTGCTGCTCTATCTATGCCATCACCTCTGCCACCATCTCTGTTGTCCTTCTTGATAGTCCTAGGGGGCCTCAGTTCCTGAAATGACAGATTAACTGCTCCTCCTTTTAGTTACCCTCTTCTATATTTATAGTTGTGACAATTGCCATTAGTCTTGGTAACCGTTAACTTACAGTTGAATCATAAAATCCTATCCCCATCATTACCAGACCCATCTGGACACAAGGAAAGCTATTAGTGTGGCTTCTATCTTACCTCCCTCATTCTGACACTAAGCACCCTCATGAAAACTTGTAAGCCAGGCATGTCATGTCTTTATGGCTCCCCATTTTTGATAGCTAAAGTCTAAGGGACCCTTCCCAGTCAACCCAGTGTACTGAGGAGGCAAGTTTGATCCTTGATGTGAAGAATCCTTCCCTTTCGGTTGGAATTTTGGGCAACTTCATCCATAAGCAAAGGTCACAGTTCATCAAGTTGTGACAGATGATGCATGCTCCCTTTATCAAACTTCTTTATCTTTATCTGATTGAGTTCTGGTCAACAAGCCTTCCAAGCTAGGTCAAATGGGTACTATCTTCAAGTTTGGGAGTTCTCACTTGTTTTGCCTCACTTCAGATTAGCTGACCACGTCACTCTTTTTTTTAAAGAATTTTTTTTTAATTTATTTTTATTTTTGTAAGTATTTATTGTGAATTGAGTGATAGTTTACATGGGATGACATTGGTTTTACACTTTTCCTGTCTTATTTCATTTCATTACAATGATTGCAATCTCCTCTGTGCTTCATCATTCAACAGTACTTGCTTCTATTCCCTGTGTTGTTTTGTTTTTTTCTTTTTCTTTGGATGTATTGCTTCACTCTTAACTCTAGCCCACAGTAGCTAGGTCAGTGTCCTTGGGTTTGGGAGTTCACACATCTCCCTGAGTTTCAAACCAGCCAGCCCTTCCTTTTCTCTCTCTCATCTTAACATTATCGGGGGGGGGGGGGGGAGTCTGTGGAACATGGCAAAACTTAGTCTGTGCCTTCATTGCTGCATTTCCCTCAATTTCACTCATAAATTGACAAGGGCAGTCACCAGCAAGCCTGCAAGACTGTTCATATGTTCCCTTTGGGTTTATGTCTTAGAAAAGGGTTTGCCCTGATGGGCTGACTTTCCTTTCCTTGATGGCCCCAAGTAAACAGCCACACAGCCCCCACCTCCCCCCACCATTCTTTCTTTTTTTTGTGAATGATATTTAATCATTTTTGTTTACAACTGAAACTCTGGGAATTCAAAATTAACATCCTTGCCCGTGAGCTTCTTATACACACCAGAAAACGTTTCAACCTTGTGTTCTACATTGTTCTGCTGTGCTTTGTCCAAATGAACCTTTATAAGCCGGCTGCCATCCAGCTTTACTCGGATTCTCTTGCCCACAATTTCACTTGGGAAGACCAAATCTTCAAGGATTACATCATGCACAGCAGTCAGAGTACGGCTCCTGGGACGCTTTTGCTTATTTTTTGTCCGGCTTTTCCGAGTTGGTTTAGGCAGAATTCGCCTCTGAGCAATAAAGACCACGTGCTTTCCACTGAACTTTTTCTCCAGTTCGCTTAATAGTCGGACTTGGATTTTCTGGAAAGACTTGAGTTGAGGAACAGGAACAAAGATTATAATAGCTTTCCGACCACCACCAACTTCAATTTCCTTAGCTGCAGTTATGTTCAGCTCTCGTAACTGAGCCTTTAGGTCCGAGTTCATCTCTAGCTCAAGAAGAGCCTGAGAAATACCAGGCTCGAATTCATCCGGCTTTTCGCCATTGGGCTTCACAGTCTTCGTGCTTGAACTGAACATGGCCTTTTTCTTACCGAGCGCCGGCCTAGGAAGAGACCAAGTCTCGTGAGATCTCGTCAAATCTCAGCGGCGAAAAGGAAGAGGAGGGAATAATCCCACCATTCTTTCTTTCAAGAAGTGTCTTCTGTTTCTCTAGCCATTCAGAGTTGCTCTGCATGTCTTTTCAATTGGGAATGTCCCACCTCTGAAGGTTCTGGGTGGGGCTCAGGATTCTACCTAAGGCCCATACTCCACAGAGGTTTATTTTCCTGGGCACAGTCTAGTAAGTATTCTTTTAGATAATTTAGTTAGATGCAGAAGGTGGGCATACAAGCTTTGTAATCGTGGTGGTGGTGTGCCATGGAGTCCATTCCGACTCATAGTGACCCTGTATAGGGTTTCCAAAGCTGTAAATCTTTATGGGAGCAGAAAGCCTCATCTTTCTTCTGCAAAACAGCTGGTAGTTTCAAACTGCTGACTTTGAAGTTTGCAGCCCGACTTCTAACCACTACACTACTTTCCCAATATTCCTTTCTATCCCACATAAATGTCTGTATTATAGTAGTAAGCAGGGATACCCAATATCCACAAAACAGTCAAGTACCTTAACATATTTCCTCTCCTTCACCCGTTCAGACTATGTCACAGCCCCTATATCAAAGAGCCCTGCTATTCCTAGGCTCTGCATACATCACAGTCTTCCTCTATTCCATTTAGCTCATGCATACCTTCCTAAGCCTTCCCTGTCATCCCTGTTCATCTGCTCCCCACCCCCTTCCTGTGCATTGCCCTTGCTATCCCCATCGCCTGAGGATACATCCATCCCCTCACCCCTGAGTTACTATTCCCTCCTTCCCAGCTCCTGGTAACCATCAAATAATTAGTCTTTTAATATGGAAATCTTTTCTTAAGCTTTTATGACAGTGGTCTTATGCAATATCTGCCCTTTTGTGCCAGATTAATTTCACTCAGCATAATGTCCTCAAGGTCATCTATGTTGTGAGGTGTTTTGCAGCCTCATTGTTATTCTTCAAGGTAGCAGAGTATTCCATTGTGTATATACACCAAAGTTTGTTTATCCAATCTTCTGTTGATGGGCACTTAGGCTGTCGTCTTTTTGCTATTGTGAATAGTGCTGTGATGAACATTGATGTGTTCTGGCTCATATTTCTTATAGCTATATACCAAGTAGAGGAATTGCTGGGTCATACAGTAGTTCTATGTTCAACTTTTTGAGAAAGCGTCATGCCATTTTTCAGAGTGGTTGTACCATTTTACAGTCCCACCAGCAGTGCAGAAGGGTCCCATTCTCTCCACAACCTTGCCAGTATTTGTTGCCCTCTGTTTTTTTGAACTGGTGTGAGATGATAACTCATTATTGTTTTGATTTGCATAGCTCTAATGGCAAATCTCTGGTAGCGTAGTGGTTACGAATCGGGCTGCGAACCTTAAGGTCAGCGGTTTGAAACTACCAGCTGCTCCGCGGGAGAAAGATGAGGCTTTCTACTCCCGTAAGGATTTACACCCTCGGAAACCGTGTACAGGGTTGCTATGGGTCGGAACCGACTCGACGCCACTTAACAACAACAACAACAATGGTTAATGTAATGGAGCCCTGCTGGTAATAGAGTCCTGGTGTGGCACTGTGGGTTAATGTGCTGGACTGCCAAGTTGCTTTGAACCACAAAGTTGATGGTTCAAGCTCACCAGCTGCGTCTCAGAAACATTATACAGTGTCACTATGAGTTGGAACTGACTCGATGTCATTTAACAACAACAATAGTGGCTAATGAATATGAGCATTTCTTCATATGTTTGTTGGCTGCTTAAATGTCTTTGTTGGTGAAATGTCTGTTCATGTCCTGTGCTCATTTTTCAATTGGATTATTGTCTTTTTCTTGTAGAGATGTTGTAGTTTTCTATAAATTTCAGAGATTAGTCCCTTGTATGATAATGTCATTGCAAAAAATTTTTTCCGAATCTGTGGGATCTCTTTTTACTCTTTTGGTGAAATATTTTGATGCATATAAGTTTCTATTTTTAGTATGCCCTAGTCATCTATTTTGTCCTCTTTTTGTGTATTTTTGCCATGCTTAGTAGTCTGTGTATGCCATATATTAGAGCCCTTAAGTTTATCCCTATTTTTTCATTGATGATCTTTATAGTTCTGTGATTTACGTTTGCATCCATGTTGAGCTGGTTTTTATATATAGTGTGAAATATGAATCTTGTTTCATTCTTTTGCAAATCGATTGCCAGTTTTGCCAGCACCATTTGTTGAAGAGACTATGCTATCTCTTCCTCATTTAATGTATTTTGGCTCTTTGTCAATTGGCCGTTTATGTCAGTTGGATGGATTTCCTTCTGGGTTCTCAATTCTTTTCCATTGATTTAGGTACCTTTCATTGTACCAGGCTGTTTTGACCACTGTGGTCCTGTAGTAAATTTTGAAATCAGGGAGTGAGAGGCCTCCTACTTTGTTCTCCTTCTTAAGCAGTTCTTTGCTTATTCAATAAGCAAAAGTATAAAGTTCATGATAGTTTTTTCCATCTCTTTGAAGAATGCGGTTTGAATCTGGCTTGGCATTGCATTGTATCTGTCTATTGCTTTGGGTGGTATTGACATTTTCACAATGTAAAATGAGCATGGTATATTCTTCCATTTTTGTAAATATCTCTTGGTTCTTGTAGAAGTGTTTTGTAGTTTTCTTTGTATAAGTCTTTTGTTTCTGCAGTTAGATTTATTCTTAAATATTTCATCCCTTGGTTGGGTGGGTATTGTAAATGGTATTATTTTCCTAATTTCCTTTTCAGAGCTGACTTTATTAGTATAGAGGCATCCAACTGATTTTTGTATGTTGATCTTGTACCCTGCCACTTTGCTAAATAAATCTTCCAATGAGTTCCAGTAGTTTTTAGTGGTGTCCTTCCCTGGCTTTGGTATGAGGATTATGCTTGCTTCACAAAATGTGTTAAGAAGTTTTCCCATTCTTTTCTATGTTTGAATAATTTGAGTAGAATTGATATCAGCTCTTCTCTGAATGTTGGTAAAATTCACCAGTAAAGTCATCTGGATCTGGACTTTTTTGGTTGGGAGTTTTTTTATAATCTCATCAATTTCTTTTTTTTGTCATAGGTCTGTTCAAGTTTTCTAATTCACTCTGTGTAAGTTTCCGTAGGTCATGTTTTTCTAAAAATGTATCCATTTTCTCTAGATTTTCAAACTTGTTGGAGTACCAACTCTTCTTGTTGTTGTTGTTAGGTGCCATCAAGTCGGTACTGACTCATAGCAACCCTCTGCACA